CTACGCTTACTTCTTTCACGTGCCTGACAATGACTTGTGTGATTTGCTCATTCATCATCTTGCTGACCACGCACAAGCGACAATAGAAAGACAACTTGGGCACATGGAATCGCAAAGATGGTAATCAATGCCCTCATGTTGTAAACTTTCATGATATATGATTGCAGAGAGAAAGGGCTTTTGAGCAGACAACGACACCAATAAACAATGCATCCTGGAGTCACCTCGGCGAATCCATGACCAAGACGGAGTCAACCCACAAAGGGTCAAATGCAACATCGGAGGCAACTTCACAAATGGCTTCTTATCGGGTCTTTGACATGTTTCGTCCGAATTGCTTCCAAGACCCCCAATTCGTAAAAAGTTCCAGGGCTTGCATGTCAAGATGCTGAGTGACCACGGCACTTATGACCGTGAGAGGACATTTGAAGTACAAATAGCTCACGTTGGATGAGAAACGGTGGTCAGGTAGGTAGGTTGTATGAGGCACCTTTAGAGTCAATTGGCGGGTGCAATAGACGATTTAGTGGATCCCAGTCAGTCCCGACTTCCCGTCAACAACACTGTGAAAGCTGCGCGGCACCTGCTCGGTTGAGCAAGTTGGGAAAGCGCTGGACAGAACGACCAGCGGATTTTCCAGCGGCCGGCGCGGTTTCCGAGCAGCTAGACGGAGCGCTGTTGAGTCTGCTGACAGTGGTGGGAATACAAGCCCGCACCTCTTGAGCGAATCTGGCTGCCGCGCCGCCCGCTGGCTGAACCCACCAGAGGCACCCCACACACAGGCAAATCAGGCGTGAAAGCTCCGCGCCGTGCCAGTCCACCCTCATAAACGCACGGCGGCATGTCCACCTAAAACGGAACCTACCTGCAGGAGCAATCAACCCGACTCAAGGAGAGCGCTGAGTGAGAGGCAGACACACCTTTCCACCATCATCACACTTTCTGTCTCTCCTCTTCTAACGGCCTCTCCTCTTTTCTTCTCCCCCTCCTTCAGATCTCCAAACCGGGTCTTCTTTCTAAGTCTCTCCCTACTCCGTCCCCTCTCCATATTCCATCATCGTTCCTGCGGAGTTTATCTGGAATTCACGAATCTGTGCAAGGAGCGAGCGATATACCACCTCTGCAGTTCGCCTCCATCTCAACGACACCCGATACCCACCCAAAACCACACCAAATGCCATCCATCGCCGAGGAGCATCCTCGGCTGATGCTGCCAGGCCGAAAGCGAAGACGAGACAGCGAAACCGACCTGCAGATACAGGGGCCTTTGTACGAGAAACTCGCCCAGTACTCGGCCATCGCCTCGACGAACTGGAAAGCTGACGGCCCTTTTGGCAGGCCCATTCAGCAGCAGCTGCAACAGCAACAACTGCTGCAGCAGCATCCAGACTTCTCCCCCCAATTTCCCAGTAATGGAATCGTCTTCCCACACGGCGGCCTCGGCGACCAACAGTACCACAGCCTCGACGCCGTTCCTAGAAAGATAGCGCCGCTGCCTGGTTCCAAAAGACAACGCATGTTCGACGAGGAAGACGACAGCGCCGAGACGGGTGTATGGGACACAGCAACATCATCGCATAGGCAACGACGGAGCAAGTCGCCCTCATCTCAACAAGCTGCCCGCGGGCCTCAGGACCAGGCCGAAACGGCCAACAAATCAAGAACCCCGGCTTCCTCTCTAAGCCCGTGCCACATCTGCCATCGACGGCCAACCAAGAAGTCAGACCTGGACTCCTTTGCGGACTGCGAGGGTTGTGGTCAACGGACGTGCTACGTGTGCATCAGACAATGCCAAGGCTGGAAGAAGGACGGCCGGCCTAGTGATGGCGACGAAGTTGAGCAGGAGGATATGTCGAGGTCATTCCACATGGACGACGTTGACGACACACGACAACGACAGAGAAACGAGAGAGAGACTCGAAATGGACAGGAGAAACGACATGACGGCTGGACGGGCGGCGGGCACAGGACCATGGTCTGCAGTCGGTGCTGTATAGAGAAGGGCGCCGAGGGTGACGTCGCTTGTCTGGGTTGTCTGTCGCGGATGGAATCTGTTTAAAAGCGAGGTACCGTTCCTCGAAAGCTGCAATGGGGAGACTGCGGGGGATTCTATTCATGTTCACATGATTCCAACAGGTTTCTTATGAGGAGGGACGTAACAACAGCGGTCGTCGAACCGGACTGGCGCACTGGTGAGTGCGAGGCGCTGCTAATGAAGGCATGCATTATCATAACTTGGCATTGGAAACTTTTTGGGCACCGCTGAGGCAGCATTATGGGATTTTACTGTGGTGGAGGAGCCAACATCAGGCATGGGAAAGGGGCCGGTGAACAGCTTGGCTCTATGCATAGAATGGAAGGCTATAGAGCCCCATTGGTAAATGTAATTCTACAAATCAATATCACAATCGAGTAAGAGACAGCGGGTCTGCATGTCTGACCTATAATTTGATCTCCAATCTTTGAGGTGTTGTCAACGAGCCTTGCGCGTCAAACATGCCAGTATCGCGTGGTGCCTCATTCAGAAACTACTCTGAAGGCTAGAGGATACTTGTCATTTCGAAGATGTAAGAACGAGGATGCCTATATCGTCCACGTTTTCATGCGCAAGCAAGGCCAAACGAGTATGCCAGGACGAATGCCTACAGGCGCCAGCTTGCTTCATCGTCTCAATGTTTGCCGGAAGAAACGTAGATGAGGCCAGCAGCAGGGCCCCTCTCTCGGCTTCGACGTGCAGATGCTGGAAATATTAAGCGAGTCCTTCAAGTTGCGTTTTCGGCTCCGAGTAAGGCTTTGCCTCCCTAGGAGTCTGGTGGGACGCTGCTGTATACTACCCTTCGGCGCTGCGACTGATCAATACGCCCACCAAGTCCAGTCTCACATTTCTCAACGTCACTGTTGAGGCGACATCATCATATTGGCGCATGGAAAAGCATGATCTATTTCTCTCGAGCAAGGTATCCCGCCCTCTAGACCTTCCCTAACCCCAAGCCTATTCTTACAGCCTGAAACGATTTCATCAACTCCGTGCCTCTTCCGCTTGATTTCCTTAGTTGTATTGCATGTAGCTGGCCGTAGAGTTGAACTTGAGGTTGGCCTTGATGACCTTGTCGACGGCGCTGAGGAAGTCCTTCTCCGTAGCCACCTTTCTGCGGGCACGAATGGCGAACATACCAGCTTCTGTGCACACACTACGAAGCTCGGCACCCGTCGCATTGGGGCAAAGACGGGAAATAAGCTCCCATCTGATATCGCGCTCGACTGACATGCTCTTCGCGTGAATGCGCAAGATGTTGGCGCGACCCTCGAGGTCTGGGAGGGAGAACTCGATCTTACGATCAATACGACCGGGTCTCATAAGCGCAGGGTCGAGGGTAGAGGGTCTGTTCGTAGCGAACATGACCTTGATGTTACCACGAGCGTCGAAACCATCAAGCTGCGTAATCAGCTCCAGCATAGTTCTCTGGACCTCGTTGTCTCCACCAGCACCATCGTCGAAACGAGCACCACCAATGGCATCGATTTCGTCGAAGAAAATGATGCAGGCCTTCTTCGTCCGCGCCATCTCGAACAGCTCACGGACCATTCTCGCACCCTCACCGACGTACTTCTGAACCAACTCAGAACCAATGACACGGATGAACGTAGCATCCGTTCTGTTGGCGACGGCACGCGCGCAGAGGGTCTTTCCCGTTCCGGGAGGTCCGTACAGCAGGGCACCCTTCGGGGGATCGATACCGAGGTTGACGAAGCGTTCCGGCGACAGGAGGGGCATCTCGACGACCTCACGCAGCTTCTCAACCTGCTCCTTTGATCCACCAACATCTCCGTATGTCACATCGGGCTTCTCCTCGACCGTCATCATCGTAACGCTGGCGTCGATCTTGGGAGGAAGAGGAAGAAGGATCTGGTACTTGTTTCTGTCAACACCGACTCGCATTCCCTCCTCGATATCCGTCGGAGACACTCTCTCGCCGAGCTGGACGACGAACTTCGCAATTTGCTTGACGTTAATGACATATTTGCTCTTGGAGTCGTCCTTCTCGTCGGGAATGATCTTCGTACACCGGGCGACCTGGAGCGGTTGTTCTTCTGACATTCGTTGCCGATCGGCGGCAACGTCCCAGAGATGAGGAGGGGCAAGACCCGTGTCGGATTCCTGGCCGAGTCAGTCATTGACCAATTTGCCAACAAAATAAGAGAGCTACCTTGACACCAATCTTCTCATCTACACTTGTTTGCTTCTCCTTGATCTGTTGCTCGAGCTTCTTGATGGCGGCACCGTAGGGCGCAGCGCCATAGGTCTTCAGCACTTGGATATCTCTGGGTATCGTTAGTCGACGTGATATGGATTATGAAGCTTTCGGAAATGCGCACTCATCGGTCAGTGGCGTGATCTTCTTCTCCTCGATCTCGTCGTCTGCGTAGGTCTTCTGGTACTTCTCCCAGTTCTGGCCGGTAGCGGAAGGCTAATTGACTGGTTAGCATCTGTCACCGGGATGCACACGCAAGGGTCATCAATACCATGATGCAGAATGAGGACTGGGCGTCCTGCTGCCGGAAATTCTTGTGGAGTGAGGTCTGGAAGTTCAGAGATCAAGGCAGGACTTTTGCGTAAATTCGTGAGGTTCTCGAGTGGGAGGTATGGTCGTCAAGATGGTAATGCTGGGGTGGATTGGAGATGGTAATGGAAGACGGTTCCGTAATCCCAGGTTGCCTTGAGCTCCCCAAGCACGGGCCACAGCTGCGAGGCTGCTGTGGAGCTAGGCCGGTTGGGGCAAAATGCAAACAGAGGTGCCGGGGAAGGAACAACCTGCCGCCCGCTAAAAAATATCCCACCGCTGGGGGGCTGCTACCTGAGAGAAAGTGGGCGATCGCAAAAGAAGGCGACAGCGGGACACGACCAAGACGATACCCATATCTCTCCCCGCCGACTTTATCTTGCTATTCCGACCTTGAATTTTCAGAAACAACCCAGGAAACCAGCAAAAACATCCAAAATGGCCACAGCTGCACCTGCCCCCGCCGGGGGTAACCAAGCTGCCTTCAAGGTATGGCGGGGAGTGCCGGTGACGAAGCTCTGGTAGCAGAGCTGTTGCTGACAATTTCCTAGGACAAGGAGAAGCCCGTCGCGGTCCGCTCTTCCAACATTGTTGCTGCCAGAGGTAAGCAACGCGACTTCTTTACGAGCTCCACAGAGCAGAAGCTGACTTCCAGCTAGCTGTCGCCGATGCCATCAGAACGTCCTTGGGCCCCCGAGGCATGGACAAGATGATCCGAAGCGGGAAGGGCGAGACGATCATTACCAACGACGGAAACACGATGCTCAAGAGCATGTCGGTCATGCACCCTACAGCGAAGATGTTGGTCAACCTCTCGGCAGCGCAAGATGTGGAGGCGGGAGATGGTACTACATCGGTCGTTGTTATCTGCGGTAGCTTGCTGGGTGCTGCGGACCGCCTTCTGTCAAAAGGAATTCATCCCTCCGTAATCTCGGAGTCCTTCCAAAGAGCTGCGGCCGCCGCTGTCGAGGTTCTTCACAACATGTCACAACCTATCTCCCTCACCGATACCGCTTCCCTGCTCCAGGCAGCCAATACCTCCCTTTCCTCCAAGATTGTATCGCAATACTCGAACATTCTGGGTCCCATGGCTGTCAACTCTGTTGTCAAGACCATCGACCTGAAGACGGCCGACAACGTTGATCTTAAGAACATCAGAATAATCAAGAAGGTTGGCGGAACTATCGAGGACAGTGAGCTTGTGGACGGTCTGGTCTTGACCCAGCCCGTTCTCAAGGGCGCCGGAGGACCCGCGAGAATCGAGAAGGCCAAGATTGGTCTTATTCAGTTCCAGCTCAGCCCTCCCAAGCCTGATGTATGTTTGCCCCTGAAATACCCCTATTCGACCTTCGCTGACCAATCAAGATGGAAAACACCATACAGGTGAACGACTACAGACAGATGGACAAAATCGTTAAGGAGGAGCGTCTTTACCTTCTGAACATGGTCAAGAAGATTAAGAAGGCGAAGTGCAATGTTCTCTTCATCCAGAAGTCTATTCTGCGCGACGCCGTCAACGATCTTTCCCTGCACTTCTTGGCTAAGCTGGGCATCCTTGCTGTCAAGGATATTGAGCGTGACGAGGTTGAGTTCATCTGCAAGTCCACTGGCTGCAAGCCTATCGCCGACATCGACTCATTCACTGAGGACAAGCTCGGTACGGCCGATCTCGTTGAGGAGGCCCAGTCCAACGGTGCCCGCATGGTTAAGGTCAGCGGCGCCAAGGCCACTGGCAAGACGGTCTCCGTCGTTGTTCGTGGCGCCAACTCCCTCATTCTTGATGAGGCCGAGCGCAGTCTGCACGATGCCCACTGCGTTGTCCGTTGCTTGGTGAAGAAGAAGGCTCTTATCGCCGGTGGTGGTGCCGCCGAGATCGAGATCGCTTCTCAGCTGGCCAAGCAGGCTCGTGCTCTGACGGGCACCGAGGCCATCTGCTGGAAGGCTTTCGCAGATGCTATGGAGGTGGTTCCTACGACCCTGGCTGAGAACGCCGGTCTCAACAGCATCAAGGTCGTTACCGAGCTCCGCCACAGGCACGAGCTGGGCGAGAAGAATGCTGGTGTCAGTATCAAGTCCGGCGGCGTCAACACCAACATCTCCAAGGAGAACGTCCTGCAACCGTTGCTGGTGAGCACTAGCGCCATCGAGCTGGCTGCCGAGACGGTCAAGATGATTCTCAGAATAGACGACATTGCTCTCACCCGATGAATGGGGAGATATGAGTCACGAAATGAAAAGTAAAAAGCAAAAGGGGATATCCGGGCTTGGTGATCATGTACATTACGGCTGCCCTGGCTTAATCACGGTATAGACGTGGGCCTGGGATTAAGGCGTCAGAACTATTAGAAGCTAAGAGCAATTGATCACAACAGATACCTTGATAACACTTGAGGATAGCCCATGTAACTGATCAAGATGATGCATGAGTCGGCGATTACCTGAGTTCCAGCTGTTCAGCCACTACGCATCTCACCTTGAATGGTACATACGAATGGGGGACATGAGGTGTAACTCCACAAATGAACATCACTCAGCTACGACTCGGTTCAAACTCCCGTCTCAGCAAGTCAAAGTATCTTTATTCAGCAAACCGAAGCGAATGAATATGATTTACATAGAATTATGCTGGGAAACTGAGGCAATCGGCTGCCCGGATATGAAAAAGTAAAAAGAGATATAAGACAAAGTATGTACCACGTTCCCAGGCCTCCCCTTTGGAACTCTCGCTCAAAGAGTTTAGTGGTAAGAAGCGTCGCCGACCTCGACGATTCCAACGCCAGCAATCGTGTTCTCGTCCGACACCTTGGCGGCGGTACCATCGGCGGTGCTGAGAACGACGTAGACCTGGCCCTCGGCGCCATCGGGGATCTCGTTGGCAACGTACTGCATCGCTTATCAGTGCATGAACAACGCGCAGAGTCAGAAAGGGGAAAAACTCACATCGTTGCCGCTGACAGTAACCTCAACATAGTAAATGTCCAGACCGCTGTAGAAGACGGCATACACCTTGGCACCAGCCGGGACGAGTCCCGCGGCGGAGGCAGCAGCGTATGCCCCGTCAAAGATGACCATGTTGCGTCCCTTAACGAAGCTCGTCTGGATCTTGGGGAAGGCCTTGAAAGGCAGGGCAGGTGTGTTCGGGGCCAACGCCGCAACGAACGGCACGGCGAGGCTGTGGACCTGGTTGAAGTCGAGGGGAGTGTCAAAGGCCTTGGGGAAGGGCTTCGCGCCGAGGGCAGCGCGGATGTAGGCCGAGTGCCGGGCCTCGACGGTCAAGATGGAGCCGGCGGGTGTGACGTAGGCCTTGTCCGCAATGACAGCGGCGGCACCGAGGTAGGCCGACACACCTACGCCCTCGAGGACAGAGGCGAGGGCGATGAAGTCGTGGGCCTTTGTGGTAGGGAACTTGAAGGTGGGTGCGTCAAAGACGGAAGTTCCGAGAGCCGTCTTGAGGAAGTCCACGTGGGTCTACAGGTTTGTTAGTATTATTGTTTAGGAAACTTCACTCATCAAGATGGAGCGGACCTTCTCATCCTCGTAAATGTTCTTCAGGTTCTTGTAGAATCTGCTGCCATCATCGGCGCCGGCGAACTCGCAGAAGTCTGCCTCGGTGTAGTTGGCAAGACCCTGTCCGTAGAACTCGCGTTCCAGATACTCGAGGACCAAGGCATATCTTCGCGGACTGTTAGCTCAGGCACCAAGAAGAGATTTACCTGCAACATGGACTTACTGGAGAATGGCTACATCGCCGCCCGGAAGAGGATCGTAGTTGGCTCTCTTCTCCAAGGGAGCACCGAGGACTGAAGCCGCCGAGGCAGCAGCGACGAGGATTGACGATGCGCGCATCTTGATTATTATTGACAAGGATACAAACGAAGATTATGAGCTTGGATCTAAGAGAATGTAGAAGAGTTGGATAGTGGATAGAGGGATGCTGCTATACTTCTTTCGTTTCTCTCTTTTTCTTGGGTGCAGTCATCGTATTTATTCACCCCGGCTGTCAGCATGTGGGCTGTGACGATGCTTGAGCCGTAGAATTCACGGCGAGATTACTCAGAAACATTGCATACGGATCTCCGCGGCTTGAAGGCGTTCCGTGAGGCTATTGGGCTCACTGGATGCATGCTAGCGATAGTCAATCTCGTGGTGACCAGGCGTGGCATTCCAAGCAGAAAGGATCGACCCCGTCACTTGGCGCGTTGCCATCAACAATATCGTGTCGCCCCCAAAAGAAGAGGGCCAGCCAGATGGCCCGAAGGGCCCGAAGCCGCGTGAGACATTGTCTATGAATTCAAGTGTGTTAGTGAGTGAGGGGCTTTTACCCCAGGGATGAGCAGAAATGACTACCGAAGCTTGGGTCAACGAGTTCGGTCGGATGAAGGTCCGGAATTCTCTGAAAGTGCGGAGCAGATCTGGAATGTTTTTGGTGCACGATGAGATTGGTGCTTGCATTAGAGTATGTTAGCTCGAGGCAACGCCAGCAGCCGACAGGTTAGCCTGGTGGCATCTCTCATTCCCGTCCTCAATATCACCGGATGATATGCATTCCGAGACTGGTCGCTCGCGGCACTATTACCTTGTCAACACAGAGCTTCGATGGGGAATCGCTTGCGATCTGCGCTTTCCAATTAAGCTTACATGTCGGCCTAACGATGGGTTTTCTATTCCAAAGAGGGATGCTTTCATCCACTTGCCGCGGTCCACATTCAAAGGTTAGCCTTCACGTCCCCGCCATAACGAACCTGGCGCAAGATGGATGGCTTCAACTCCGACACGCTCTTGAAGCCAGACAATCCCATAGTCAGATCCAGGTCAGCCAGCAAGCCAGCAATAACGGCTTTCGCCCCCTCCTTGCCGGCGATGCCCAGGCCGTAGATGGCTGGCCGACCAATGAAGACAGCTTTAGCTCCCAATGCGAGCGCCTTCGCGATATCCGCTCCAGTGCGGATGCCCGAGTCGAACATGACGGTAAGCTTGTCGCCTACGGCACCCACAATCTCAGGGAGCATCTCCAGCGATGCGACGCCACCATCGAGTTGTCTTCCGCCATGGTTGCTGACGATGATGCCGTCCATGCCATGTTCAACAGCCAACTTGGCGTCCTCTACGCTTAGCACGCCCTTCAGAACAACGGGCCCATCCCAATTCTTCTTGAGAAGGGCCAAGTCTTTCCAAGTGTGATGGTCACCCGGGAAAGCTTGGCTGATCCAGTACCGGGATGCGCTGATCACGTTGTCCTCGACCGCCTCACCGTCGTTCTCCGCCGCAAATTTCTTTCGGAAGACAGGATCGCTGAAGCCGACCGCGTTGCCCGTGCCGGTTATGAACGGAAGGTAGGCGGAATCCAGATCGGCAGGCCTCCAACTCAGCGTCACGGTGTCAAGAGTCACCACAAGAACCTTGTATCCTGCGGCCTTTGCTCTTCGCAGCAGAGAGCCAGTGATGTCGTCGTCCATAGGCCAGTAGAGTTGGAACCAACGGTGACTGTCGCCCATAACGGATGCCACCTCTTCAATTGTAGAGGTCGCAGCTGTGCTGAGGGTGTAGGGCACGCCAAGCTCTGCGCAGGCGGAGGCGAGTCCGGTCTCCTTGTCTTCATGGAAGATACCCTGGACACCGATGGGAGCCATAAGGACCGGTGATTCTGGGCATGTCTTAGCCTTGAATAGCCACTTCCCCCGGGGCTTCAGACGTACCGTATGTCACACCAAAGAGCTCAGTCTTCAGGTTTCGTGGATTTGTTGGCTTCAAGAAACGAGGAACTATCTTCCACTGCCTAAAAGCGAGGCGATTGGCGTCCATGGTAGAGAGCTCGCCGGCACCACCAAAGACGTAGCCGAAGCACTCCTTGCCCATGGCCTTCCTGGCCTGTTCCTCCAACTTGTTGGGATCTGTCGTCACGACGGGCAATTGCCCCGTCATGATGCCCTGTTGGTAGATGCTGACGGCATAGGAAGAGTAGGGAGGGCGGCCTTCGCCTTCGTCGCCCATTTTGAAAAGTGAATGAGTCTACGGCTGTGAAATTGAATTTGATGAGTCTACTGAAATTGACAGCTTTGCCGACTTTGTAAGAATTGTTGAACAAGCGGGGAACATGCAAGATGATAGCTGGTTTGTGATTCGAGTCTGAGAGCTGCTGAAGTGAGATTGGATTTGTTTAGCATTTTATGAACACTTCGGGGACCGCGGAGTTGGGGTCGAGTGAGATGCCTCGGCATAAGCTTTCCGTGCAGCTTCATCATAGTAACACCAAAAGGCACTGCCTGTGTTCCAGCTGTGATGCCAGTTCCCCACTGCGAGCATGGAGCTGCGGAACAGATCCCGATGCAGCTTGGTTCACTCGAACCGCTATGCAAATCATCGTAGCAGAGAACTCTGAAGAGAAAGTCGAAAGCGGTAACATATTGAAGAGTGAATAGCTGAACTCTCGATCATGAAGACAGAGAGTTACTCTTTCCCCACAGTCTCTTCCCGGTACCACCAAATGTACCCCTTAAGACCCCTGCAGTGAGCTGCATCCACAGTGCAAGCGCGACGTGTGACCCCACCATCGAATTGTGAATTGCCTTACACCCCGCGATTCTCATTCTTCCAATCCCACCGCCGAGTCTTCGACTCCCGTCGCGTTCTACACCAAACCTCACACAATGCCATAGTGCACCCCGACCAAACCAGCATCGCCGCCACAAATGGATATCGACGACATCCTCCGGGAGGTCGACCCCGTCTTCCACTCGATCCCCGCAGAGACACGCGACCTGCAAGCCTTGACGCGCGCCTGGGTGGCAGAACGCTCCGCCCCAGAGCTCCTCGAGTAAAACCCCCCTCACCCTGAACCAAATAAAGAAAGACGCTGGGCGAAGGAGAGATGAAGCTGACTTTTTATCGCGAAACAACATAGGTGGCCTCCAGATAACCTCTTCGAACGCGTCAATGCCCGCATCAAGGCCCAAATCGAAAAAGTGGAAGACCTGACGGGCGACATGGACCCCAAAACGAACTTCGCCCTGATCGTGATCCAGACCGAGCTCGAGCGCTTCAAGTTCCTCGTCCGCAGCTTCCTCCGCGCCCGCATCGCCAAGATCGACAAGCACGCCCTGCACTACCTCTCCTCCCCGCTCCTCCGCGCCCGCCTGTCCGAGACGGAGCTGGCCTACGCGACGCGCCACCAGGCCCTTCTGCATAACCACTACCTCTCGTCCTTCCTGTCGTCCTTCCCGCCTGCACTGCAGAATCTGAACGACACGGCGGGGAACATCAGCATGATTGACGGTCCAGACCTGGATACGGCCGTATTCATTCGACTCCTGCGGGACGTGGCTGTGGAGGGAAAGGGCACGGATTCGGATGGTGTTGTGGACGGCAAGACGGGTGATATCTTGATCCTGAGGTGGTCTAGCGCCAAGACCGTGGTTGATTCGGGCGACGCTGAGCTCGTCTGAGCGGTTGGAGCGCGGAATGGACATACAATACGGGCTGCGAAGCATGCATTCGCCGACGCGGATCCCGGGGTCACGGCAGACGCGGCGAATGCATGGTCGGGTCAAGCCGGAGAGTTGGCGACAACCCTTCTCTTCGCGGCGCTGACCTGCCCTGCGCGGGGTGGCGTGACATTTCCTCGCAAAGCCCACGTGGTGATGTCAACTCAGGTCAAGGATCCTGGGTCAGTCGACTATTCTGGGGAACTTCAGCCTTGGAGGGGACGAACGCCCGGGGATGGCCCCCCCGCGTGTTCGGAAATGACAGTCGTACGTCTGCCCCGCGTCGGGGCTCTCCGAAGTCAGGCTGAGCATCTCCGCGTTGCCGAGCTACAAGATCAACGTCAATTAATGGTGGTCAGAGAGGGAAAAGTGGCCAGATTCCGTCAAGGAGGCCGGAAAGGAGGGGCAAATTGACGCGAATCCTTCATGAAGGGTGCTGTTGCAATTTGGATGGAAGCCATATTCGCTATGGTGCTTGCAAATCGAAGATAGATCACGAGAATCATGAGGTATGATGGCAAGAAATTTGATACATTTTCCAATACTCGTGCATGTCTAGCACTGCTGCTGCGGCCGGACTCTGCGGAAGTCTAGCTGCTGCCCTCTTTTTCTAAATGAACTGTGCCCGCCATGCATCGCTTGCGAGATGAATTGGAACCTTTCCAAATTCTAGAAGATGCCCCCAAAACGCCAAATCGCAAAGAGTCAACGGAATTCCATCCGGACAACGTCTCCAAACCCCGAACCCAAGATTCCCAGTTTCCAATTATCCTATGTGCCGTCCAATCCCTCCCAATGCCAGTTGCGATCCTCCCAAAGTCAACGACCCCATCCACCTAGGGATTCGTGCGTGTGTTCAAAACGCATAAGCGTTACCAAGTCCTAGTACACCAGCACCCCCGATTCCTCTCGCCTCGCTGTTGCGGCGACTGCTTGAATTGCTGTGACTGCCTGGCACAATGACCATGCCTTTATCGTTCTCGAGCTTCAACAAAACCTGTGACCTCTTTCTCTCCAAACCACCCTGCTTCTTCAACGAGGCAAGACCAAAGAGGGCGCCGCGGAGACCCAGATCCAGACGACTTGATTCGTGAATGCCAAAGATGCCCGCTGTTGGCAATGAAACTTTGCGGCCGTGGCCCAACGACATTGTGCTCGAATTCTTCAGTGTGTACAGCGAATTTGGCCGTGGATACAATGCACGCGTGATCGACATCTTGCGCTGATGTCCGAGATAATTGTCGATAAAGTCGTCGGCAGTGAAAGAAGCTCTCGGGAGTGTCCAATGGGACAGTGACTTTGACTTTGCGTCGTCGGGACCTGGAGTATCATCGACTGCAAATTCGGGAAACGGCAAAGTTGGCTCGGAAGGCTCTGAGTAGTCCGAGTCTTCAGTCTCTGTCATCAGCGGAGGGGTGGAGGGTTCATGGGGCTCATCATCCTTGTCACTGAACGAGGCGGAGTCTGAAGTCGGCGTGCGCGGGGCCTCCGACGATACAGACGGTGCCTGGTTCAGAACAAGGAAGGACGGGTCCCGGTGAATCTCGGCGGCAGTGTCAAGTCTCGGCTCGCGGGGTTCTGTGGGAACCGGGGAAGGCTTCTCGGCTTCGGGTACAGGAGAGGGTTGGATGGTCTCGGGAACGAGAGGGATTGGAGTAGGCTCGGTGGTGTCATGTGAAGACGTACAGGCATCGACCTGAGAAGTCGGGACGGGCTTCTGCTCCGCATCCTCGACAACCGGATCGGTCTTTGTCACCTCGAGGAAGTCAGGCGCGCTCGTGGTGTTATCAGCTTTGAAGTTAGAGGACATCGCGAAATCCAGGCTGATGGGAGAGTTGAGGCTAGTCTCAGCCGCGGTGGCAAAGCTAGAGGGACTAGACATGAACGCGGCTGGTGCGATAGAGTCCGCATCGTGATATTCGCCGTCTGAGTCGTCTTCGTCTTCCTCGATAATTGGTTCAACCGCATACTCCAAGCAACCCTCCAAAGGCAGAGATGGCAATGCCGGTGGCGTTGGCTCCTGTTCCGTGGAAATGACAATCGCAGGCTCTGTCGTCGACTCCTCGTCGGGGATAATGGCAACGACAGGCTCTGTTGTCGGATCTTCATCGGGGGTGAAGACAATCGCAGGTTCTGATGTTGACTCCTCGACAGGAGTGACAACAATCACGAGATCTGTCGTCGGCTCCTCGGCTGCAGTAGTCACCTCTTCGACCGGGGCCTCAGGCACGGCAACCTCTTCCTCCTCGATGGGCACACAGCAGTACTCCAACCAACCCTCGAAAACGGGCTCTTGGGTGGCCGTTTCCTGCTGAGGCTCGAGTGAGTCGGCCACAGGTGCCGATCGAGGCTCAACCAAAGTCAACCCGAGCTTGGAATCTGAGACCTGGACATCTTCGGGCTCGGTAGTGCGCTGCGAATCAGCCAGCGAGCGCTTGTCGGCATCGGAGTCAATCGACGTCAAAGACTGCCGGGAGATGGAGCGAGGTCCCTTGCCAAATAAGTTGAACTGTCGTGGTCCATTAAAACGCGCCATTGTTGGAGTCGACGGTCCTACGGCTGAATCTTCAATTAGCTCGCTGTCGGAGGTCTCGGAATCCGCAATATTCGGGTTTGCATCAAACGGCTGAGGACGGCCTGACAGCGTTCGCAAAAAGGTGGGCGTAATCAACAAGCTCTCGCGGGGCGTACCAATGTCGCTGTCAACAAGACTAGGAGTTGACGACGAAGACTGATAAGTAGAAGTGGCATCCTCGGCCGACGAAAAGGACAGACTCTTCGATGTTGCTTTGGCAGGAGTTTCAGGCTGTTGCGAATGCCCCACGGTGCCTATGACGCCGTCGGCCATCGTTTCAACCCCACCATCACTCTGAAGCGTTTCATCTCGTGCCAAAAGTTCGGACGGTTCGTTGGAACTCTCATCGAAGGAGTCCGGCACGGGCCCATGCGGCGTCGGGATCGGGAGCGGGCTGCTTGACGGCAAAGCTTCCATCTCAGCAGGGTCATTCGCTGCAGAGACGGGGCGCTCGACCACACGGATATTCTGGGGTTCGGCATCGGACAGCGAGCACGTGTCTTTCACCACCATGGAGATGTCGGATCGGATTCGGTCCTTGAGTCTCGTCAAGAACATCTCCTTGATTGTCTCAGGATCTTCGCCTTGGCGTTGTCCCGTTGCGTAGTATGGCGAACGGGCCACGAGAGTCTTGTCCAGAACCAAATGGCCACGCTTGTGGACCATGAGAGTGATGCTCATGTCGTGACCACCGAGGATATCTGCGACACCTGTCTGGACTCGATCGAGGACGGCTTTAACAGTCCTCCTAGAATAACAAGCAGTCGAGTCGAGACAGACGGCGAACGGTTTCTCTGCCTTCCAACCCCGGCCAGAGAGTTCGTAAACTGTCAATCGGAGGTCATCCATCTCGTTCAGCTCCTTGTCGGTGTCATCTCGCACTGCAGTAAATGCGTGCTCGAGTTGATTTACAAACTGTTCACAGTCAAGACCGT